GGGGGGGGTGACCAGAGCTACAATTTCAGTGCTCAAACACAGACTTGCATGCTCATATTGCTTAAGGATATCTATGAACAAAGCATATCTTGGTGGAACATCAGCAGTGAGCTTGCATAGTCAATTTCCAACTCTCTAGATCTTATGGCCAGGAGGTACCTGCAGAGGTCTCAGACTGCCCATAGACATGCAGTCATTTTTCAATCTGACCATAAGTGGCTAGATCAGAAAACAATCATCTATCAAGGCTATTCACAAAAGAGTGACTAGTTTGGAGAAGGCAGGAGACATGAACAATCTAGGCCGAAATGGCTGATTTGGAAACATTCTCCAATTCAGCTCACTTTCCAGTTCAGCGATGTTATCCTAGATTGTTCACTTCTCCTGCCCTCTCTAAACTCTTCACCCTTTTGTGAATAACCCTGTTTGTATTTGGGCAGATTTAGTGATTAGTGGAAGGCTACTCAGAACAAATACATATCAGAAATTATTGGAGTGCACACATGGCTTCTAGAGTGGATCTTGCAAAGGTCAAATTATATGAGCCTCAATCAGCTGCTTGTAATGTTCAATGCGGTTCAGTTGAAGATATGTGCATACTTTGCCTTGTACTGCCGATTCCTGGAAAACACCTGCAAGAATTAAGTGCATTACTCTTATTAGACTATAAAATACACCTTCTGAAACAACACACTTTAAAAAAAAAAAGTAATTACCTAAGGCCAAACTAGCCAGGTAAAAAAATCTTAAAATGTTTTTGTCCCTCCAGCAGATGAAGAATCCAGTGCTTGTTTCGTCTAGGGGATAGAATAAGGCAGAGCAATGCTTAACTTAATCCATGGTCCGGCAACATTCCTTCCCATCAGTTCTGGTTGTGAGAACCAGTCCCCTAAAGGCGCTCTTCTTGCCGAGCTACAACCTGTCTTGTTGGTACCTCTCTTGCTGCCATCAATCAATACAGTGCAGGACTAGCTGCCACATCATCAGGATGGGACATGTCCACTAGCAGGAGTGCCCGATAACATTCCTGCACTGGAGAGAAAAGAACCAGACCACCGTATGTGGCAGGACCATATAGCAATGTAATCATTATTCTATGTTATGCCATCCCCTGGAAAAAAAGCACTTCATTCTTCATCAGCTGTGGTGTAGGGACAATCTTAACTATTTTTAAATGCCATAGTTAGGCTTTAAATTTGTAGACTTCCAAAAGTTTAAATCAATGCTAGTTTTTGAGATAGTTGTTCACCTACAGCAATTCAAAGTCATTCAGAAGGAATTAACACCACTACAAGTGCTAGTGTTGTTTTCCTGTTGTGCTTTAAGGAGACACTTGCAATTGCTCATTCAAAGCAAAGTGACTGTGTCATTTCAAAGGGACCCCCCTGATCCACTTATACTCATCTTGCCAGGGTTCCCCTGCAGCTCCTTTCACTATGTCAGTGTGAAGGTACCCAGTGCTTCCAAGTGCTTGGGTCTAGCAGGGCCCGATCATTGTCACATGCCCAAGGGAGTGAGGTCACTGCTTCCACTAGTGTGCAACACTAGGAATTTTATTTCCAGCTGTGACAGAGGAAGAGCAGCTGGGGAGTGCTGGCAAGGTGAGTAATAATGAGCCGGGAAAGGCCCTTTGCACAGACACTGTTACTTTTCCCTGAATGGGCAAGGAGTCAGTGTCTCGTGTAAGAGGAAGTCCAGACATATAGTTAAATACGCAGAAATGTGCCTGTGGGTGTTTATGCTTAGAGCAATCTGTTGGCACAAGAACCCGGCACCAATAGCCTGTACTTATCCATAAAACTTTAAAATGCGGCTCTTCTGCACCTCGGAATCCCCTTAAATTCCAGTTCCAACATCCTGCTTGAGAGATAGTTGGAGCCTAAACTCTTAATGTGTTGGAACAAGAAGTTGGAGCTGCAATTTGGAGTCTCTAGCGGGCAGAGGTGCAGACTTTCAAGATTCTAGCGGTTTGTGCCTTCTTCTTTCAGTAATTTTTGCTAAGATACAATTATAACAGTCTTACTTTAAACATAGGCCTGTGCTCTGTGTGTAAGAAGAACTAAGTGAGGAACTAATATCATTGCTGGTGCTTGAGGGCTTACCCAGAACTAGCCTTTGGCCTGGAGCAAAATGGTCATTGTTTTACCACAGATACCACAGATAAATGAAACCTGTGAGTTTGAAGACCAAGTTAAACCAGTCAATTTATCATTATTGAAGAAGGTCTTAGTGTCTGCATGCATGAATAGTTTATTTGCAGAGCACCCCTGTACCTCTAAAATTCAGAGAGATTAATAACCTGTTGGTTAGTGTGACATTACACTTTGTGGCCAATAGGGAGACATGCCTGTAAAAATGACCACACTGTGTGGCACAGCTGTAGAAATATATATCAAGTGACTTGATATCTGAAGAAAAAATGAGAAACAAAGTTTCTTGCAAAAGTGGACCCTTAATGCTTACCTCTTTGGTGGACACTCAGTCCGATCTTCAAACACTTTAAGAGCTGCGGCCACTAAAGACCTTTTAATATGGATGCACAGATACTTTTTGAGTACCAGTGCAGATACTTGGCATTTTCATGAGAACTACCAGGGTTGCAGAGGTTGTAGCTGGGACCGGGCTCTGGCTCTCCACCACTGTCCTGAAATCATTAGTCTGTATTGTTTTCGAACAACTGTCACATGACAATAAACAAAAATTTGTAAGTACTCGGCAAGTACCAGTACTCGTACTTGCAAAACTGGTATCTGTGCATCCCTTTATTTATATTTATAAAAACAAAATCGTACATTAAAACAGAGATGTACAAATCCCAGGAGCTCCGTGTGCTCCTTACAAATGACAGCTGCATCCTAATTTTTGAATTTTTCTCTAGTGTAGTCTTGGAGCTCAAAAGTATCGGTACATGTACTCGTACTTGTACCGAGTACTGTATTTGGTATCTGTGCAACCCTACTTTTTAACATTCTACAAACTTCCAAATCTGTTAGATGCATGGTTCCTTGCTATGCACTGTGCGGCTTAGGACATTTGACTCACCCGGGAAGTTTATCAGATGTTGAGAAGTTTTTTGCACTACCTGGAAGATTCTTCTGGAGGCAATAAATCTGGTAGAGGGAGGTTAGGACTTGCTATCCACTGGAGATGTGTTAGGAGTCTTATTTTGCAGGAGGCTTCTTTTCACTTCTTTTTTTTGGTAACTGCAGAATTGCTTTAAATAAAATTGCACAATTTTTCTGCAGTGATCCTTATGGGACTTCTGTCTTATCCTTTTAGGGCTGCTTCACAATTTTGCAATTATCTCCATTTTAAAACTTTTATTTTTACGGCAGGTAAGCAAAGGTACCGTGAAAAATGAATAAATTGTATAGCCAGTTCAGATCACTGGACTGCTTTGCGCAGTGACGCGGAAAAAAAAGTAACCAGCACATTTTTTCTGCTGGTTACACCCCTAGAAATAAATGGTAATGTAATTCTTTCCATAATTGTAACCTTTCAGACAAACAAAAAATTATAATTTACATGTTTTAAAAATGGTGCATCAAGGTCCACGTATTAGATCTGGGCTCCTCACCCTGTAAACATTGCTGCATAATAGTAGTGGTAAAATTTTAGCAATGCACTTTCAGGGAGTGACATCACTTCCCTTCCGAGGAGATTCCAAATTTTTCAAGAAGACACTACATACAGTGCAAAAGAGATTTGGGATCCTCATTGTTCACAGGATCTTTGCAGAAAGATGTGAAATACGGGGGTTAGGGAAGTATGTATTGGATTACAGGTTTCATGTATGAGTCCAATGTACAAACTTCCTAAAAGAACATATTATAAATTTTGTTTCTGCAGCTATTAATCATTTAAAAAAAATAAAGTCTGCAAAACTTTTGTACCAGGACTATTGTGATGTTCTTACCTAGCTTTTTGCAAATCTCTTCCACTTTCTGAAATGCATTCTGTACCTCCTCTTGTGTTTGTACAATCACTTCCACTTCACCTACTGCAAAACCAAAATCTGCCTCATCTAGGTCAACCACAACCTTTGAGCTTTCCTCCAGAGGCAACTGGAACCTGCGTCTGCGCGTCACAAAACTTGCAAACTCGTTCAGGCCAAACGCTTCAATATTGGGGAGACTTGGTACAGCCAGTACTTCACTGACTTTGCAGATAATTTTATCTTCTTGGGTCAGCTCTAAGTATTGTGTGGAAGCTCCAGTAAGTCCTCTGGCTCCTGGCTTTGGTGGGTGCTTTAGCTCCCAACTATTTTCCCTTTTTCGCAACCAACAGTCAGCAAGTGTGAGACGCAGATCTGGGCTATCATAGTAAGAGTCTCTAAATGTGATTTCCTCCAGCAGCTCAGCCCCTAGTGCATACAAGATTTTCTCCACTTCTGGCCCTGGGACAAACTTTCTTTCCACTTCAATATGCCCAGATAGATGTGACGAAGATGCCATTTCTAGGAAAGAAATAACAAAGTATGATGTACAGGAAGATGCAGTGATGCACAAGTGATTTGTGAAAGAGCCAGAGCTCTGTGTACAAGCACAGAAGTAACAAGGAACATATGATTATAAGGTCTGTACGGAAGTAAACTGGTATGTGCCAATTTCTCAATCAAAGCTTTGACATATTTTCTTATGCATAAAAGCCAAAATGTTTCATGTCCAATCATCACAAATTGTCTAATGTAGTTATCCTTTTTTCCATATAAAAGTATTAAGACAAAAATAGATAAAACTGAATTTTTTAGTTATTTGTGATGGCGTGATATATATTATTCATATAAGTATACAGGATTTATATAGTGTCAACAGCTTGGGCAATGCTTTTACAAAATAAAGGGACACAGTACAGTTTCAAAACAGTTAAAGTCAAGAGGGTTGGGAGGGCCCTGCTCTCCGAGTTTACAGTCTAAAAGAAAGACAAAACGTAATAGCTTTGAGGGGATGGAGTGTTCAGGAATCACTTGAAGGCAGACAGAGTAGCACGTAGCTGTAGAGTTTGGGGTAGGGATTTCCAGAGGATGTGAGATGCTCTGGAGAAGTCCTGGAGGTGACTATGAGAAGAGGTGATGAGTGAACTAGAGATAAGCAGGACTTGGGAGGAGTGAAAGGGATGTTTAGGGTGATGTTTTCAGACTATTTTAAGTTGGTGATGTAGTTCAGGGTAGAATTGTGGATGACTTTGTATGTTATTAGTATTTTCAGTTTTATTAATTTCAATTAACAAAAACCAGTGGAGGGATTGGCAGGGAGGGGGTTGGACACTGATTGGTTGAATATAATGAGATCAATTTTAGAAAGGTTGGGTTTTAGAAAGTGGTGTGACATCCATTTATTAACCTGATATGCTGGTTAATAAATTAGTGATGCACAAGGAGACTGATGGGGTGAGCTGAGGAGTACAGAGATAGATTTGGGTGTCGTCTGCATAGAGATAGTAATGAAAGCCATGGTAGGCTATCAACTGACAAAGGGAGGAGGTGTAGATAAAGAATAGAAGGGATCCAAGGAAAGAGCCTTGGAGGAATCTTAGAGGAAGAGGAGAGGAGGAGATGAAATAGTAGTTGACGCTGGACTGCTTAGATAGGTAGCAGGACAACCAGAAAAGAGCAAATTTTTAGAGGCCAAGGGGGTGAAGTTTTTTGAGTAGTGGTTGTTTATCTGTATCAAAGGCTGTCAAGGAAGCCCACCACTGGGTCTGGATGAGTGAATCCAGTGGAGTCCACTGTGGGAGAAGTCAGCAGGAGAGACAGAGTCAGGTTTAATTATCAGAAAGTAGGTTAAGAAGTTAAAAAGACCGCGGTGAGCAAATTACAGATACAGCGGGCATACCAGAGGGAACATGGGAAGGGGGTGGTTCTTGGAAACAGAAATTAGAGTGTATAGATTGTGGTTGCTGTCTGAGGAAGGGGGGTGTTTGGTGTGGGGGTGATAGCAGAGGGGCAGGTTCTGGGGAGATTTATATGAGGGCAGTTGCCCCAGTGTTCTTGAAGTTATCTCAGCATGTGGGTTCAGAATGAGCAGGAGGTGATCAGGTCAGTAATAAGGAGAGGGCAGGAGTAATAACCTGTAGTGTAAAGGGGAGATGGCAGTCACGAAAAAGTCTGAATGATCCTTTTTGGAAAGGATCAATACATAGTAATGGACATTTTTTTTATCACTTGAGTGTAAATTGCAGACACACTATATTGCCAAAAGTATTGGGACACCCCTCCAAATCATTGGATTCAGGTGTATAAAATCAAGCACCTAGACATGCAGACGCTTCTACAAACATTTGTGAAAGAATGGGTCGCTCTCAGGAACTAAATGAATTCAAGTCTGGTACCGTGATAGTTTGTCACCTGTGCAATAAGTCCATCCATGAAATTCCGTTGCTAGTAAATATTCCACGGTCAACTGTTAGTGGTAGTGTAACAAAGTGGTAGCAACTGGAAACAACAGCAACTCAGCCACGAAGTGGTAGGCCACGTAAAATGACAGAGCGGGGTCAGCGCATGCTGAAGCACACAGTGCGCAGAAGTCGCCAACTGTCTGCAGAGTCAATAGCTACAGACCTCCAGACTTCTTGTGGCCTTCAGACTGGCACAATAACAGTGCGTAGAGAGCTTCATGGAATGGGTTTCCTTGACCGAGCAGCGGCATCCAAGCCTTACATCACCAAGTGCAATGCAAAGCGTCGGATGCAGTGGTGTAAAGGACGCCGCCACTGGACTCTAGAGAATAGAGAAGTGGAGATGTTCTCTGGAGTGACGAATCACGTTTCTCTGTCTGGCAATCTGATGTCTGGGTTTGGCAGTTGCCAGGAGAACGGTACTTGCCTGACTGCATTGTGCCAAGTGTAAAGTTTGGTGGAGGTGGGATTATGGTGTGGGGTTGTTTTTCAGGAGTTTGGCTTGGCTCCTTTGTTCCAGTGAAGGGAACTCTTAAGGCATCAGCATACCAAGAGATTTTGGACAATTTCATGCTCCCAACTTTGTGGGAACAGTTTGGGGATGGCCCCTTCCTGTTCCAATATGACTGCGCACCAATGCACAAAGCAAGGTCCATAAAGACATGGATGAGCGAGTTTGGGGTGGAGGATCTTGACTGGCTTGCACAGAGTCCTGACCTCAACCCGATAGAACACCTTTGGGATGAATTAGAGTGGGGACTTGAGCCAGGGCCTTCTCGTCCAACATCAGTACCTGACCTCACAAATGCGCTTCTGGAAGAATGGTCAAACATTCCCATAGACACACTCCTATACCTTGTGGACGGTCTTCCCAGAAGAGTTGAAGCTGTTACAGTGGCAAAGGGTGGGCCAACTCAATATTGATCCCTACGGACTAAGAATGGGACGCCATTAAAGTTCATGTGCGTGTAAAGGCAGGTGTCCCAATACTTTTGGCAATACAGTGTACATCTGGCACCTGTCTTGCCACAGGACAAACTTAAGTGATCAGTCAAAAAAGTCCAACTGAGCCAGTAACCTGTTCAGTTCAGGATCTATGCTGAAACCCAATGATATGACAATCCTACTTCATATGGTAATAAAAATCAAGTGGACAAGACATTTTATGTGTATAGGTAGCTTTACTCTGGACCTGCAGTAGCAAGTCTTTTTTCAATAGCCTTTGTTCATAATCCTGTGTAAATAAACCCCACATGAAATAAATGACTGAAATAGAGAAAGCTTTGGATACAGCAGAAGAAGTCTGGTGTTCTCATATACTGGCTATTGTGATTGTAATGTCTTCCTTATATTGCAAAGTGCTGCGCAAACTGTTGGTGCTATATAAATCTTGTATAATAATAATAATAATGGCTATTTAAAGTGACATTAAACCCTCAGATTTCTTAACATAAAACAATACTGCAATGTGTGCCTTACTGTAATCCATGGTTGTTTCCCTTCTCTTTGCTGCTCTTCCTTTTAAATCTGTATCTGTTCTCATGCTGGGCAGAACTTCTGTTTTGCAGCAGACTGCCTTGTCTCAGGAATGGATACACGGTGTCTGTGTATAGGTTTGTATAGGTTTGTAACCTGAGCCAGCCCTACAGGAAGAGGCACTGAGCTGCAAAGGGAAGTTCTCCCCAAGCATGAGAAGACATGAGGATTTAAAAGGAAGAGCAGCAAAGAGAAGGGAAACAACCATGGATTACAGTAAGGCACACATTACAGTACTGGTTTATGTTAAAAAATCTGAGGGTTTAATGTCACTTTTTGAACGGTTCTTCTGGAGCCAGTCGAAAATCTTTGAACGAACAGAGGCGGCAGGCAATGAATGCCGGCTATCTTCAGGTGCTACTGACAGCGGCCAGCGGCTGCTATCAGAATGCAAAAGATACAGTGGGGATTCCTTGATCAATGCTCATACAGCATTGATAGAGGAATCTGTTCTATTTTTTTTTTTTTATTCAGCTCGCGGGTTGAAGGAAAAAAATAGAGCAGTGTATGACCAGCTTAAGTGTAACATATTGGATACCTCCTCACTAGGGGTAATTGAGGCTTAATGAGCTTGTGATTAAAAACGTTTAAAGCCACTACATGTACCAATAAAAAACAAATACGTGAACTATATTAAGGAGTATAGACTGTATTAGAGGAAATCTATAGTGTAAATCGCTTTTGATATTTTACAAGGAAGATAATCTTTTTTCCTGTTGCAATATATTTATTTTCTTAAATGTCTATTTTTATCCACCTGCCCTTTACATTTCAATGACACTGTTCCTTTCAAAACCCCATCTGCAAATAGAGCATAAGAAAAACAAGTATCCAGCCCCTCCAATACACAGCTATCTCCATCTATGTAATTCATCCCTGTTTATTTATAATTCAAACCTGAATTCATAATGCAGGAAAGCTGCAGCCAAAGCACATTGCCCCCGGATAAAGCAGTGTGTTCATTTGTTGGGGGAGGGAAATGCTTCTGCAATGCTTCACTTGGCTGACTCAGGCAGAGACTTCCCTGTAGAGCAGTGTATGATGGGATATGCAGTTCCCGCCTACCGAAATGGCTATAGACTTTGACCGAGCTTAAAACTACAAATACCAGACACCTGTGCAAAGAAGCATAAAACATGCAGGGGAATTGCCATTTAAAGGGGAAAGCCGTCTGCTCAAGACAGTAATTAGTATGTATCAATGAAAACACTTTCAAGCAAAGCATAGCTATAGTTTGTCATATTGAAAAATATTTATTTTACCATAACTGTTTTTAATTGTTTCTTTTATTTTGAAGAAATGACTATATTCCATCAAGGTGATTGCTGTAATACCATACACATACGTACAGTACAACTAAAAAACATCATATTTATTACTAAAACTAACCTGAATCTATATAAGCATGCCTGGGACCCTGAGACAGGATTTGTATACACATCTTAGTGTCTTTGAGTTTAGGGCCCATTCACACCAGAACATTGCAGCAGTTGCATGTTACTGTGCGTTTGGCGCACAGTATCCCACAGTGCACCCAGCATGTGGTACTATGCGCTAGCTGAATTGCATTGCCATTCATTTCAATGGCACCCCAACACACCTCCTGGCGCCCGCATTGCAGCCCAACACTGTTCATTGTGAAAAAAAATGGTGCATATACTACTTTTTTCTCACTGCAACCCATTTCGAGAGCTGTGCTGGGATGCCATTGAAATGAATGGCAACGCAATGCACCTCGCACACAGTACTGCATTATATGTGCATTGTGCAATAGAATGTGCTAAACACGTGGTAACATGCGATTAGTGCAATGCTCTGGTGTGAATACGCCATTATGGTTAGTTATATTAACAGTATTATACAAGGCCCTCTTGACAAATTAGGATGAATTGTATGGGTCCAATGAATTCTGCGGGTAGGAGGCAGTGTATTATACAACTGCCACCACCTGCAGACATTCACAGGCATTCGGCTGTAATTGCACATACTATGAATACCTGCAGCTGATCGCACCTAGGCCCAAACAGTCTGCGTCTAGGTGCGGTTGTCCGCAGGTAATCGCAGTATGTGCAATTACATGTAAAAGACCTGTGAACAGCTGTCATTGTATTGTACAGCGCCTCCCATTCGCAGCCTGGTTCCTCCGTGGGATTCATGCCATTAGCAAGTGTGAATGGGGCCTGAATTCATTTTATTATGCATATCTATGTTAAAGGTTAGGGTGCTTTTTACCCACAGTTTGCTGTTATGTTTTACCAAATGTAATACAATTTTATTATTTGTGTTGTATGCAACTGCAGTCACGTAAGTGTGTGATTATGGTGGCAGCATAACAAAAGTTAACTAGGGTCTATTTTTACACATACAGTATTTGAATTGTATTTTGCTGCCTGTGTTCCTGTAATTATGTAATAAAAGTGATGTTACTCAGTTGTTTTGCGTAGCACTGGGTAAAGCAATAGAGGCATTTTACATGGGTTTTCCAATCAGGTCCTCCTGTCAGTTTTTCAAGCGGACCTGATCAGAAGCCACCGTTAGTCTATGGGCAGTAGGATCTAAACTGGTGGGCATCCATTTACATCCGATTACCCCTGACTCTGGCCAGGTCCAGAAAAACAAACAGATCAGACTTCTATTTTGCCAGACCTGATCCTGCCAGATTGCAGGGGGCAATCTGATGTCAATGGACACAAGTCCGTCTACATCCGATTCTCCATAGACCAACATGGGTCAGGTAATTTCATTTTTTTTCCTCCATTGCAAGATGACATCCGATCCTTTTAGCTGGGGATCCGTGTACGGACCATGTGAAAGGGGCCCTATACTTGCAGACTAACTGCAAGTCTAATTTTCCAGCCGCTCCTGTGAAACAAGTCCCCGCTGGCATTTGCCAGGTATAGCGGTGGCAGGGCGAGAGAAGCAGGGCATGGGAGATGCACCCTAGAAAATTTGTGGAAAATATTTCAAGGGATACTTCCTACTCTCAACATTCTGTAGTAGTTAAGGAATAGAGCAGAATCACCTCCCTGCCCCCAGTCTGAACAATGAAATAGCAGCAAGACACAAATAAGTCACCAAGTTATATTTATAATAAAAATTAGTTTTTTAACCATGGAAAATGCTTGGCTAGATAGATAGATAGATGGACAGATCATTTACTAAGAAAACAAACACTGAGAAATCCACCTATCCTCCTTGCCATTTTTGGCTAAAATCTGGCCGTGGCAAGCAGTGAAGGGATTGTTTTTTTTTTCTTGTACAATTGTGTGTTGTTTTGCAAAAAATTTCAACATGTCTAAGGGCCTGTTCACATGAGTTTCAGGTCCTGATCAGGTCAGGATCAGCAGACGCGGTGCTGCTGATGCAGTGCGTTTTGGGCGCGTTTTTGATGCGTTCCAGCAAAAAAAAAAAAAGTTTTTTTTTTTGCTGGAGTGGGGCTGTTAGTATGTTAGCTGCAGCGCAGTGCGTTTTTGACGCGTTTGCGTATCCTGACCGTACAAAATGTGACATGCAGTATTTTTCTGTTGTGTAAGCTGAACGGACTGCGCACGTGAGAACTGGAGCCCATAAAACACATAGGGATACATTGGGATGCATTTTGAGTGCAGCAGCGTACGGATCAGGTCAGCACACAAAACGGACGTCGTGTGAACAGGCCCTAAAACAGATAACATGCACTTCTGGTGTTACTAGCTGTTATCTCTTTGCAGTCAGCCATTATGAAAAACCTCAGAATATTGAACCGTGTATGGATAGTCTTTGAGGGAACTGGAGACTATAGTAAAAAAAAAAAAAAAAACTGA